TTGGCGTGGGAGACAACGGGCTTTGGTCCTACGGGCGTGGGACGGAATCCCAACGTGACGGGACAATCTCCCACGGGTGGTTCGCGCATCTGACTATGGAGCAGGCATTACACAATTTCGCAGTCTGCCTACGACCTCGTCTGATACTTGGACAAGGACCAAATGATGCATCTGCCACCCAGGCCCTCTTTGTTGATGCCCAAGGCGGCCGCAGCGCAGGCATAACGACAAAGAAGCTCCGTGATTGCCCCGACTCGCTTCACGGGCGTATTGTCAAGCAATCACACAACCTTGCCGTGTAACGAAGAGCCTCAGACCGCATGTCCTTGACTGGCTATTGCGCAACCACCAACGACGATATGGCTTCCAGTTGCGCCCGGCATCTGAAGGAACGTGATAAGACGCTGAACTCGCAGCATGTGCTTTGCGGATACTGAGGGAGCCATCTGCATGTGCTCTATCGCGGAACCGAAGACTCTGGGGCCACGATGGATCTTGCGGCCGCGCAATATGGAGCTTATCATGAAGATTGAGACCTTGGTTGGGGATCCATCAACCTGACAGGCCTTATTTCGCCGAGCGTTGTGGGGATCGCGGAAGCAAGGGACCAAACATGGACGCCTGTGGTGAGATTGTAACGCGTGTCTGGGACCCTGAGGCATCCAAAAGCGAGGATTGATGGGATCTTGTTGAGCCGCCATCTATCGCTGAAAAGCTTTCGCAGGGCTGAGATTCCCACTACGAGTCGGTTCCGCCGGCAGCGTTCTGCCGCATCACGGAGCTACATGCTACCTATTGTTGGAACGTGCTGTAGCTATTTGTCACAATCACATGTGAGGAACCATGGCTGGTAGGTACTGTACGTGTACTGAGCAGATGTTGACTAACAAACTCGACGTCTTTCAGAGGTTGGAGATGCACGTTGAGGGTGTAGCAGCCCCGATTGGGCTCACTTGGCATGTGATAATGCTTGCGCAAGCTCTTGGTTTTTACTTTATTGAATAAGTGATGAGTCGGATCTTGATAGTCCATGACGGAAAGGCTCTGAGTGGGCTGATGCAGAGTCGTTGACGGCATCGGCATTGACGAAGATGCCTTGACTTGCACACCATTAACTTCTGTCAACAACCGGCACCTTCTTAGCTGTGGACGCATCCAAGATCGGAACGTTCGGGCACCACGGACCACATCCCGATCTAATCAGGTACGCCCCGGCATGAGCTTGTTGGACGATTCTTTCAGCCTCAATTCCAGGATCACCTCCCCGGGTGTTGGTGCTATTTGCTAATATTTTAGCTCCCAACAACCCAAACCGGGGAACGACAAAGCTGTTCGGACCTGCGGAAAGCCTTCACCTCTGGAGCTTGCACATGGCGAATTTAGCCCTGCAAGCTTAGCTGGTGGGCTCGTATCATTCTCGGCCATAATCCAGACGCTCGAAACAGCCAAGGTGGGCTTGCGTCAAGTCAAAGCCACCACGTTGTCCTCTTTTTTGCAGGGTCCAAGGCTAATCCAAGGTGAGCTTCGCCAGTGAGGAGCAAGCACGTTCTCAGCAGGGATCTTGAGAGGAGCAATCCAGGGTCTCTCTCTCCTCGGAGGAAGACGGAAGATCCGAGCAAGACTTCGGGAAGAGACGTGTTTGCTCGCGGCACTAATCAACCCCTTTACAGGCTCCCGATTCAAAAAGCCAAGAGATAACGTCAGATTTACGGGGCCCGTGGGGATGAATGAAATGCTGGGGGCCGCTCGTCCGAGGCTCTCGCAATTGCCGGACGGCAGCATTTGCTTTGGCGGACGACGCAAGACGCCGGGCGTGGACCGAGATTTGTCTTGAATGGCGGCATCCCGAGGTCAGTGACAGAGACAAAGATCGCGGATCCGACTTCGGATCATGGCTCTACTACGTAGTAGTGGCAAGCCTTTTGTCAATCTCTTTTCAATTTCCCCAGATTTCACTCCGCACGCCCTTGCCCCAGAAAATGCCGATCGCTGAGCCGCAGTACAGTGCTGTAGGCGTGGGCGTATGACGAGTGTGGAAGATGGCCATGATGACTTCGTCGAGGAACTCTCCTCGCAAGGTTTCGCCGACTGTCGACACTTGGGATTACTCCGTCCCAATTATGTAAATGAATAGGTGCTTGAGACGGTAGTGTAAGTGTAGTTCTCAACTTGTGTGTCAATCAATAGAAGACCACCAACCCAACTCCTCAACAAAGCAAGTCAAATCAAACCTCCAGCCTTGAACTTCTCTGACGTCGAGAGGCTCCAATGCGGCTCAAGAAAAACACGAGGTTGTTGGTTTGTCCCCCGCATAATCACATGCCTTGGCCCGTTCTTGGGGAAAAGATGGCTGCCCGGTGGAAACGCGGCCCGTATATCCCACAACCTCGCCGCTACAGTAGCGGGATGCCGAGGTGATACCGTGCACCGCGTTGACCGAGGTGTTTGTGAGTTGCTATGAGTATGTGATTTCGGCTTTGTAGTTCCATTGGAGTTTATGGGGGGTGAAGCTGAGGTGAACAGCTTCACGGCCAGGGTGTGTTGTGGGATGAGGCGTGGACAAACGACCCGAGGTTATTGCCGGCCTCGGTATAGAGTGGTCGATTCGGCATCATGGTTCATGTCACATTATGGAATTCTACGATGAAGGTGTCTGCCGAGGCTGGGATGATCCTGGATGTTGACGAACTACTAGTATACCTTGACTGTGAGAACCAGTTTCTTGGCAGACCAATATCGAACGGTTGGTCATACCACATCCCAATTGAGAGGACTGAATATTTCCGAATTACAAGTCGTTGTAACTCGCTCAGGCCTGAGGTTGACAAAGGTCAACTGGCAAGCTCATCAACGAAGCATCATTCGTCCTACTATCTACGATCCTGGCATCACCTTGGTGACGGAAGAACCCATACAGCTTAGGGATTACCAGCGACTGTCATATCATGGAACTAAAGAAAGTGGCATAACTAACCCATGACACTCGGTTGCAGCCGAGACTTGAGATGCCTTGACATGTCTACTTGATCTGGTTCATACAGCAATGGTTCCAAGGTAGTGAGGTTGATTGTTCAACAAGACCTATGAACCTACCACGTTCTTTTCTGCAGAGATGTGATTGTATTTAAGTCTTATAATAGTCTATAGTTGGTGCAATAACTAGAAGTAGTTGCAGGTACTAGATCCTAGGGAAACAGGCAGTTGTGCTTCTAACCACTCTCTTATATCAACTCCCTCAAGCGGTCGAAACAGCTTTGGATAGTCGGAGTATGGGACCTCAAAGCAGTGAAGTCGCCAGCAGCCACTAGAAGTAGTCTCTCCATTCTCAGAAGCTTACATACTGTTGCCAATGCTTCCTTCTATAGGCGTCAAGTCACCCTGGTGAACTTTCGAGAACACTGGGGGCAGCCATTCTAGATAGAGTCGAAACTCTTCTGTTAACTGTGCTCCTAGGGCTAGCTACAGGAGATCGAACGAATGAGTCGACACACTTTATGGGGCAAGGCTGGCCTTTGCCAATTCGGGGGCTATTGTCAACTGGCTAGAATCTAGTCGTGAGCCTTCTACAGCAACCGACTACGCCGCGACGCCATCAATCGCACAAGTGGAATATGGCCTTTCAAGGTAGGATCAGTGTTGATCCGCAGCTTAGCAGAACGGTTCGCCCCCTACTCACGGCCCAAGTTCGTTGAGCTAAGCGAATGCTGCATCCAGTAGTTTGAAACCAAGGCCAAAGGTAGCACCTTCCAGGCTGCTCATGTAGTGGGCATATTCAACTCGGACTAAAGCTGATGTATATAGCAGAACTGGCTCATTTAAACAACGGCCTCAACATGTTTTGTGCCTTATGTATTCAACTTGTGAGTGTCAAGGAGAAGTTTCTCGATATTTCTGCTCAGCCGACGACGCATGACGTAAACACCCTTTCTTATTCAAGCATCGGAGAGGTTCGTTGAGACAAGTTGTGTACATATGATATGTATGAAAGGCTGGCTAGATGTCAGCCACTCTGTTGAAGAGTATATCGTGGTGATATCATTGTGTTTAGAACTGCGTATCAGTTCTTAGACTGCCTTAGTGTATAGTTTAGGATAGCTCATCCATTGAGCCGGCAAAACATACGCTGTGGTAAGAAAGAGGCCTGGGGTATAGGCTAAAAGGATGAGCAAGCTTAGCCGATATCTTAAGAACGGTTGGATTATTCTTGATCGTTTGGCCAAGTCCTCTCAGTCGTGGGAATAGCCCAGTGGTCTGGGCATGACATTCCCTTACTTAGAAAGGACATGATGAATACAGTATTGACTAAATGTCAAGGGCGGAGCTTTTTATTCTCTTCGGTGATATGTAATTTGTAACGATGAGTAACGCCAATACCTCTTGCTTCTGTTCAAGGTCCAAGATATGGAATCAAGCATGCAACTGTAGTCTCATAGAAACTCATCTCGTCTAAGCGACGCCCGAGTGCGGTGGCCTTTGCAGGATGGAGACTTCAAAACGCATGGATGCCTCGACATGGATACTCCAGTACCGTTGAGTCGACACAACCTCATAAACTGCCCCTCTCGAGTTAAAGAAGACGATACTATCCATCGGTAGAGTGTGTGGCCTAGCAAAGCCGTACAAGGGTGAAATGTTGAGGTGTAGTTGATCAGCTATTGAGAAAGAAAAGGTTCTTATGTTTATAGCGAACACGTTAGCTAGCTATCTGTAGTCACTAGCAAGTAAGGGCTCGACAAAAATGCAGATCTGGCTCAGGGCCGTCTCACTTGAGTGTTGATGAACCAAGGTGAGGATAAGGGTTTAGTTGGGAATGACAGAGTGATTGATCAGAGAGAGGGTTTTAAAGGGGCGATGAGAATTGACCGTGGATTAGCAATAGATGCTGTCCTTCTGCTGCCCTATGAAAGACTCACTTGACATCGACGAGCCCAATGAAAGAGAACATATCTTTAAACATAGATGGCCCATCAAGAACTCCGCACCTGGGCATGAGAATATCCAACATCATCAGCCAAGTTAATAGATACAAGTGGAAGCTGACTGGGGGCCAAGCAACCAGGATATGATACAAGGAAACCACGCCTGCTCATCACATCGTCAACGCCATGGCAGAGGCTTTCCAGACCAAGGACAAATATCGTCCTTGGTGGGAAACGGTATTGATACACTTGGCGCCGTGGTTCAACCCCACTTGACACCAAAGAAGCTGAGCTTCTTTCCCAGTTTCGACGCAGCTGTCTCTTCGTGCTCGAGGTAGACCCTCTCGTGGCCCCTTACATCCACAAAGAAGTACTTGTACTCGTAATCGCCTTGTCCACGATGCCTGATCATGTGCAGTCGCGCAACGCCGTTGTTCAATGGCCCCTCGACCTGCTGTAGTTAGCGTATGTCTGGCTTTATGTATCATTGTGAACTTGCATAAAAATGCATCAGCAAGTGTTGGTTTCCTTGGGCATCAACAGACTCCGTGGACCTGACATTATCAGTGCTTGCCCAATGTAAGTATGCGATATACATACGCAACAGGGCGTGCCCGTCTCCACTTGTTGAACGTTTCGTCTCCATGCGCCGAGATCTTCTTGGCGTCGCCGAGCAGCTCTAAACATCGAGGGTCGTCCTTGATTCTGTCGACGGCGCGATTGAAGTTTGAGATTTTACTATCGGGGGAAAAGACTTCGGTCCACATAAAATATGTCACACCACCCTATTGAGGGTTAGCAACCTGTCGCATGTCTTGGTGGGAAAGTAACTTACAGTGAGCACGAGGCCGATCAGAATCATGCCAAAGTTGACAGTCTGCTGTGTAGCTCGGCCAGCCTTCTCTGCCACCGAGAGCTGGCTCCATGGCACATATCCCGTATCGTTGAATGGTGTTACTGCCCTCCGCTTAGGGCCCTGGGGTGTTGCGCCCACGCCTTTATGTGTCGCATAGCATCGCGAAAGTAAGAGAGGTTGTAGTTTGGAGGGGCACCCCACGAAGATGGTCGATCGGATCGGAATCAAGGAGGTGGTTGGCTTCATCCTGGCGGTCTCACAGCAGCCATGGTATCAGGACTTTTGTCCTGACAATAAATCCAAAGATTGAACCAACAAAAGGCTGACGTAGGAGTTGACTGCATCTCAGGCGTCTCTCAATTGGAGCTCCACGATGGGTTCCATGTTGTAGTTGCTTCACCGCCCGGCAGAACGACGTGGGGAAGAGATGTGGCCAAATCGGGACTAGCGTGACTGATATGCCACTTTACCTTAGAGACACCTGCCCTTGATGACCGACTCCTTATTATTCCTTGAACGATTCCGGCGCCCAACTTGACGTTAAGACCTCCCTAGCCCGACCGACTCTGTCTCTTGTTTGACACGTCGCCTATAGCCGTCGCACCTTAAAGTGGCCTCTCGAGCTCCCGAACTACTCGCCAACCCTTCCAGAACATTGTATCCTGCCTGATCGAGGCCCAAAAGTCAACATGAGCGCTCTTGCGACGAAGCAGCAGTCGCTGAAGATCTTTGAGAAGTTGAAGACCAAGCCTACGAACAAGGTGTGTAGCTGTCAGACACTCTTTGCGCAGTCGTGGCAGCAGCGCTGACCATTACTCAACGTAGATCTGCTTCGACTGCGGCCAAAAGAACCCTACCTGGACATCAGTCCCCTTTGGCATCTACCTCTGCCTGGACTGTTCCGCCAACCACCGAAACCTGGGTGTCCACATCTCATTCGTGCGATCAACCAACCTCGACCGTATGTAGACTGCGACACCTCCCTAATCGCCTACAAGACTGACGACCGAGTACAGAGTGGCAATGGGACCAGCTGCGCATGATGAAGGTCGGTGGCAACGAGTCTGCCACCAAGTTCTTCCAGCAGAATGGCGGCACCGCTGCCCTGAACAGCAAGGACCCCAAGACCAAGTACCAATCTAACGCCGCCACCAAGTACAAGGACGAGCTTAAGCGACGCGCTGCGCGGGATGCCCAAGAGTACGTTTTGATTCTTCCCCTGAGGCGCCCCTTGATATACATACCTGACATGTGTCTAGGTTCCCCGACGAGGTTGTCATCACCGATGCTGTCGATGACGGCTCTGCCACCCCCGCCGGCGAGCCTGACGACGACTTTTTCTCTTCCTGGGACAAGCCTGCCATCAAGAAGCCTACACCCCCCGTTTCTCGCACTGCGACTCCACCTGTTATGGGCCGAACGCCCTCTCCTTTCCTCAATGCTGGCAACGGCAAGGATATTGCCCGCGCTTCTTCGCCTCTTGCCCGAACCGCCTCGAGCGAGTCCAAGCCCGCAAGCAGAATCACGACATCGGCTGCCCTCCGCAAGACTGGTGGCGGCATTGGTGGTCCCCGCAAGGCCAATGTCCTCGGTGCCAAGAAGACTACCAAGCTGGGCGCAAAGAAGGTTACTAGCGACGCCATCGACTTTGACGAGGCCGAGAGGAAGGCCAAGGAGGAGGCCGACAGGATCGCGAAGCTTGGCTACGACCCCGACGCCGAAGAGGACCCTGCGACCAAGGCTGCTACTGGATCTGCTGCTGCCATCATTTCTCCCACTCCTGTCAGCCCCAACAAGAGCAGTTATTCATCGCATACACGCCAGAAGTCGGATGCCGAGGTTGAGCGATTGGGCATGGGCATGGGGCGACTGGGCTTTGGCCAAATTGGTGGTCCCAAGGCTGCCGCCGCCCCCAAGAAGAATGCTGGTGGATTTGGTTCCGTCGGACCTGTCAAGGCTGCGGCTGTTGGTAAGTTTTACCCATGCATCTATCTGAACAAGTATATCCTAACCTAAGACAGATGACTCGGAGCGATATGCCCGCGACAAGTTCGGTGCTCAGAAGGGCATCTCATCAGATGAATTCTTCGGCAAGGGTGCCTTTGACCCCAACGCCCAAGCTGAGGCCAAGACCCGACTTCAAGGCTTCGAGGGCGCGAGTGCCATCTCTTCCAACGCTTACTTTGGACGACCTGAGGATGAGCCTGAGGAGGAGTACGGTGATCTCGAGTCGGCGGCCAAGGATTTTGTGCGCAAGTTTGGCATCACGGCCGGTGATGATCTCGAGAACCTGACACAAATGGCGGGCGAGGTGTCCTCCCGGCTCCAGGGAGCCATCCGATCTTACCTTGGCAACTAAACAGATGTGCAATTGACAAGTTAGAATGTGAAGCATGAGGTTCCTGTGTCTCGAGGGGACGTCGAAGGAGAAGAAAGCAGGAGAGGCATGGACCGGTTCGAGAATATGGCATCGAGCAAATCATGGCGCATATACCCACGTGCGCTCGGCATGGCATGGCATGAATCTGTCTGGGGCGGTGTGCTTTTTGGAGCTGGCGTACATGCGATGTCCCAAGTTGGCTGCTTTGGTTACCTAGTATGAAATAGAGATTTGATGTTTGCTACCTAGTTTACGATAAAAAAGAGTTTTACACTGTTTAAATCTGTGGCATGATTAGACTGGGAGGTGAAGTAAAGCAATGAATTCATGGCGCAATGATGCGTACTACATGGTGATGCTATAGTCTACAATAAGGTATCCAGAAAACAGGAACGTCAAAGCAAAAGGTTGTTTACAGCTTGGCAATCATCTTGTTGCCCTTCTGCAACCAAGCGACGGCATCATCCACAAACTCGTCCACGACGGCCTTGGCCGACTTTTGCTCGTTGACCACGGCAGCACACTTACCCATGAGGTAAGGGCGGTACTTGTCAAAGATGTCCTCCTCCTCGTCATCGTTGTCGTTGGCGTTCTCGGACAGCTTGTCGAGGTCGGCCTCGTAGGGGATGACACCCTTGGCGGCGAGCTCCTTCATCTCAGCCACGCGGTTGGTCTCCCAGTCGTTGATGTACTCATTGTTGCGTACACGCATGGGTCGACCGGTGAAGATGATGGTGCGGACGTTGTCGTCATGACCTGAAGTGCGGACAGCCTCCTTGTGAGCCTTGGGGGCGCCAGCCTCATCAGTCAAGATGAAGCGGGTGCCGACCCAGACGGCGCCAGCGCCCATCATAAGAGAGGCAGCGAGCAGCTGGCCGTTGTGAATGCCACCAGCGGCAATGACCTGAACTGGCTGGCCGGTCAAGGGCGACTTGTGCTTCTTGCAGATGTCGACGACGGCGGGGATAAGGACGGTGGTGGGGATGTCACCAGTGTGGCCGCCACCCTCACCGCCCTGAGCGCAGATGATATCGACGCCGAGGTCGATACACTTCTGAACGTGCTTGACATGGCCGATCATGTTCATATAGACGATGCCATGGGCGTGGAGCTTGTCGACGACGGCCTTGGGGGGAACACCGACGGCCGAGACGAAGAGCTTGGCGCCCTCCTCGATAATAATGTCGACAAGGTCATTGAGCTTGCCCTTGGTGTAGTCGTAGCTGTTTCGGAGTGTCACGAGTCAGCAAAGTGCTCAAATTTGCATGTGATTGGGGAGTGGAGGGCCGGAATGTGGAGGATGTGAGAAAAACGTACTTGGTCTTGCGAGCGCTTCCGCCGACCTGGGGGAGAAGCAGATCAACACCAAAGGGAGCGTTCTTGTCGACGAGGAAGCTCTTGAGCTCGGCGATCTGCTCGCGCAGCATCTCTGGGGTGTAGCCGACGCCTCCGATGACACCGAGGCCGCCAGCGTTGGAGACTGCGGCGGCGAGCTTGGGGCCAGCAGCCACGTTCATGCCGGCGAGCAGAACGGGGTGCTTGATCTTGAACAGATCGGTGATGGGGGTTCGGAGCTTCTCTGCATGGAGGAGAGTTTGGTTAGCGATTGCTTGCGCATCATGGGGGAGAGAATGCGATTCTGGGGTAATGACGTACGTGGGGAGGCCATGATGTCTAGATTGGCGACAGAGGTTTTGTAGATGGAGGACAAGAGCTGCTCGCTTGTTGGATGAAGAAGAGGAGTAGAAAGAAAAGAGTATGGAGAAGTAGCAAGAGTGGTCAGCTAGGGAGTTAAGAGATTATAAGCAAGCCCCTAAAGTTGTTTGATCAGCTGAGGGGGGATGCAAGAAAGAGGCCAGAAGCTGCTTCGTGATGGACGACGGATGGACCACATGCCGAGGCTTGGAGCCGGAGATGGGAGGATGATGCGGGGGGTTAGGCCGGTTTTGGTTTAGCGTGTAAGTGAAAATGAAATCTGGGGAAGATGCCGAGGGACGAGAGTTGCGTGGCTGCCTTTTTTGGCTCGGTTTATCGGTTCATCGCTGAGGAGAAATGAGATGAAACGGACAAAATGAGTTCTTTTTTTTTATTCCCTGTTATAATTATCAGCCAAGACTTGGATCCATCCATTGTTGGACATTTTTTCTGTTTGTGTCTTTGACATGTGCTCTCGGTGCTAAAGTCTTGACTAAGACGAGTCGGACGCTATTCAAGACCCCGTGACATGGACAATGACAACCACTACAAAGTTCAACGTCAGCCCCAAAAGCCACCAAGAGAACAACGACTGAGTCAGATTGTGACAGTATCAGCTCAACTTATTCAAACGCCCAAATGTAAGGGTCCAAAAACTCTAAAGAGACGACTCATGGTCAGTCTAGACGCTTCTCCATGGCGTCCCCGTTCGACACTCAAGGCCCCACCAGCTCGTCAAATTTAGCGCCAAATTTTTGCAACCTCTCTCCATGTGAGGCTCACTCAAACACCATAACCTAGTTCCCGTGAAAGCAGCATGTAGGTAGGTAATAGCGGCAAGACGAAAAATTCGCCATGATAAAACCTTTTCCTTCCCGTCCGCTGATACGCAGCCTCGTCACCACGCGCAATGCTGCATACCCGTCCAGGCGGGCCTTTGCCTCAGCCTCGCCATGCCGGATGTCCTCGGCCTTTGCGGTGCGACCTCGCCTCTGCGCGACAATGCCTGGACTGAAACGCTCGGCCTGCGGGTGTGCGTGCTCGTGTGGTAGCGGCAATAGCGGGCCGCGCAAGACGACGGCGTATATCGCTTTGGGGAGCAATATGGGTGACCGCGTTGCAGAGATTGAGCGTGCTTGCAACGAGATGGACCGTCGAGGCATCAAGGTCAAGAGGACTAGTAGTCTTTGGGAGACGGAGCCCATGTATGTGACGGACCAGGACCGCTTCGTCAATGGAGCTTGCGAGGTGTGTATATCAAAGAAGAAAGAAGATATGGCTCCGGGGGGCTGACCAATCATCCAGGTTGAGACCGAGTTGGAGCCCATGGCTCTGCTCGATCAACTACAAGCCATTGAGAATGAAATGGGTAGAAAAAAGGTCATAGACAAGGGCCCACGCAACATTGACCTAGACATTCTCCTATACGGTGACGAAATGGTCGACAATGAGCGGCTCAGGGTTCCTCACATCGGCATCCTGGAGAGGGAGTTTGTCCTCAGACCCCTGGCCGAGTAAGTTGAATTTTCCTCGTCAACCGTGTGACAAGGAAATCTGACAACAGCCGCAGGCTCATCCCCGCAAAGTCATTGGACCCCTCCAAGCCGTGGAAGCTCATCCAGGACCATTTGAACGAGTTGCCTCTTGGCGAGCCTCTGTCGTCCATGACACCCCTCTCACCGTCTTCGAGTCCCCTGACACCACTCGCGCGCAAGAGAAAGACGCATATCATGGGGATTCTCAACTTGACGCCCGACTCGTTTTCTGACGGCGGGGTGCATGCTCAGGATAGTATCGCTCAGACGGTCATCAACATGGTTAGGGACGGCACGTCTATTATCGATGTCGGCGGCCAGTCTACTGCGCCTGGCCGACCCGAGGTTTCAGCTGACGAGGAGATATCCCGCGTGGTGCCGGCAGTGCAGCTCATCCGTTCCATCCCAGAGGCTCGCGATGTAGTCATCAGTATCGACACGTATCGGGCGTCGGTAGCTGAGCAGGCGATAGCCAGCGGTGCAGACATGATCAACGATGTATCAGCCGGTGTGCTCGACGCCGATATGCTCCCGACTGTGGCCCGGCTCGACAAGACCATCTGTCTGATGCACATGCGCGGGACGCCGCAGACCATGACGGAGCTCACATCGTACCCGGACGGACTTATCCCAACGGTGGCGTCGGAGCTCCTTTCACGGGTGGCGGCGGCCGAGGCGGCGGGGATCCGGCGGTGGCGGATAGTCCTCGACCCGGGCATCGGCTTCGCCAAGACTGCATCACAGAACCTCGAGTTACTCCGACGTCTCGAGGAGCTGAGATACTGGCCTGGTCTCGAGGGTCTGCCGTGGCTAGTAGGATCAAGCCGCAAGGCCTTTGTCGGGAGGATCACGGGAGTGACGGAGCCGGCTCGACGGACGTGGGGCACGGCGGCTACGGTGGCCGCGGCGGTGCAGGGCGGGGCCGACGTGGTGAGGGTGCACGACACGGCCGAGATGGGGGCAGTAGCCAAGATGTCGGATGCAATCTGGAGGTTTTGAGGCACTACATCTCGATTGGAATAAATCAAACAAAATGCCGTGATATGAAGTACGACTTGATGAGTGACTTGCATTCCAGACTTTCCTCTCCCCGCCAAGCTTTCCTCTCTTTTCCCCCCGTCAAAAGCTGTCACATATCAGATTCATCTCAACGAATCATGTCTTTACTTCTCCACATATACAAGACCACGCCCCTCCCTCCCTTTTTCCCTTTGGGGAGATTTTCTAAACCGGCGTCCGAGGAAGGCCTCATCGGTGGAGCCTCTTTTTGCAGGGTTGCTAGGGTGCGACCGGTGTAGCGGCCTGCATGAGGCTCAACCCTGTTTCTTTTGTTTTCGCTTGGCGTCTTTCATTCAATTGTTTTCTCATTCACTTTCGCTTGAGGAGTTGTTTTCTCAGCCTGATTTTGTCATCTACCGAGTGACATTTGCCTCAATACACTCACATTCTCATGTGATCCTTCTATACCCTCCAATTGGCTTCATCACCTACAAGAGCCTGATCTTAACAGGTCAATGCAATACTGCCCATCCACCCACGTCAGCGGGCTTCCTCTCCGCCTCCGCCGACCGGGCTGCTGGCATCAACGAGATGTGACGCTTGACGCAGTAACACGTCGGGAGATGGGTTGCAAAGTGGTGGCAGTAAATGGATGGCAACACAGCGGCACGCAGGAAAAGGAGGCTTGCATGATTTACCCGCCTCGGTGGAGGGGAGAAGGAGACCGGGTAGCAGGGAAGATGGAGGGGATGGCCCCCCTCCTTTGTGTGAATCTCGCCATTGTTTTTTTTTTTTGAGGGTATTTTCAGTCAGCAAAGGTACATAGGCTTGATGCATACAGGGTCTTTGTGAAGAGTGACACGGCACGGACAGTGATAGACCCTGATGCATCTTGTTGATGTGATCTCTCTGGTCGGCCGCCTAATGTAGACATGGCCTGACGTCTTCATGTATGCATGTCTGCGAGCAGCACTTGCAGTTGATCTTTTAGTGTACATACCTAGATAGGTAGGTAGCCGTGCTGAGCTGATCTTCGGTGGTGTTTTTGATTTTCACGCCGCAGTCTCGACTCGGGTATTGTCCAAGAAACTGCAACATCCATCTTTCAAGTGCTCCAGTCTCATCTCACCGTGTTACTCGACGATTAGCTGTCTACTACCATCAACCTCCTCTTCTATACCTCGTCAATACCCGTCTTGGCTTATTCCCGATCTTGATCCACTCTCCCGCTCCAGACTTTCACGATAGCGTCGATCCTCTTTCTCCTCTCAAAGCGCGCCCCCAACCCTAGACCGCGAACCCGCCCGCGCCGATCCCTTCCCCCTTACCAAATTTGTACTGTTTCTAATCCTTGCAAGTTTCTTAGCCACTAAGAAAAGAGAGACGAGCGCTTTCTTTATACAGTGCGTGCGTGCCGATTTTATCCCTGCCTTACCACATTTTTAGACTTCAACCTACCGTCGGGCTAAACTAGGCAATCGACCACCAAAAAAAAACCCATTTGCCATCGTTTGGACTATCAGATGATAATTAATTCCCCGTCCAACTTTGATTGATTGAAATTATTTGTTTGCCCTTCTAACGAATTAATCTAAAGGAGCGGTCCGCGCCGGGAAAATCATCTCTAGCGTGCCAACCTTAATCCAACTCCCGCTTCAAGCACGGGTCATCAAAAAACTCTGCTGATAAACACCATGTACAGGAGTACATACTCGTAACAGCTGAGGGTGGAACACAGGGTTCGGGGCCAGGGGTTCGCTTGCTGGTCTTTCCCCAAGGCTGAGCTGGGGGTGTTACAGCATCATGTTGGCGTGGCCGCCGTTTTTTTTTAAATGCCTGACTACTGATAATCACTATAATAACTACCGACCTCGCCTCCTCAACATATGCACTTGACAATCTTTGACCTCTGAGACCTCGAGATGCCGTCATCTTATGCCATGTTCGAGACAAGACAAGACGAGATAACCCCGTAAAATCACGTTCACGCCCCTCCTCCAAACCCTCGACAAGCCTCCTTTGACTAAATCAACGCCATCCTCGCATCCATCCATCCATACGACGCAGTCGAATCGAATCGAATCGAATCGAGACGATACGATACGACATGAGCTGAACAAGCATCATTCACTCACTCCCTTGCTTCTCGCTCCCTAGACCATGCAAGATCCCTCCTCACCGAAATCAGACGGAGCCGCCGTGCCGTCTTTGGTGGAAATCAAGTCATGGGACAGGCCAAGTGACGAGAAGACATGCATCGATAGTCAGAATAGAGAAATGACCAGACCAGACATCCGAGAAAACCTCCAATCATCACTGGTCCAACGGGTTCCCGCATACCACCGAGCCCCCCAGTATGCCTGTCTGTATGCCTGCCTGCCTAGCCATGTACGTATGTATCCTTGGACTCGACGCCCGGTTACTTCTCTCTCAGCTTGCCAACGCCCACGTCTCCCTCTCATGTCTCATCCCCCTCACACACAGAGTCCGCCTCTTCCTTATACCCCTCCCTCATCGAGCCACAGGAGCCAATCGAAATATCCAAGTAACCAAGCAGAGTATCAAAAGAAACGAAGACTAAGATAAGAACAAGGGGAGGAGCAAGAACACGGGGGAGCTAGAACACGGGGGAGCAAGAACACGGAGAGGAGCAACAAGAAAATACACCAGTTGACTAGGGGCTGTGGGGTGCCAAGATGAAAAATGACCAAAATTACATTCAGTTCAGAGAAAATGAAACTTGTAAATCCATGTGTCAGAAGAAGTGAAGAAATGCACACACTGGGTATCCTCCCATCCCCCCCTCTCTCTGCCTTTGCCTTTGACCTTCTTGTCTGTCGAGCCATCTGCCTCTCTTACAATCTTAGCCCTAGTCAGTCTAGTAGACAGACATCCAAGTCATGCCACACAACCAACTCCTGACCAAGTGTCGTACACATCGTCGTCATTTTGATTCTTCCCCCTGGCCTAGTCTTCCGTCCCTCCATGCTTGCGTACCATCAAAGGTAGTTCGCTTGCTGCTGTCCAAAGCGCCCCTGTCTTTTCAAACGAAAGAACTTTAACCTTGCATTGATCGATCTGGTTCCTGATCCCAAAACCCATGCCATTGTCATGCCCATGTCCATGCCCGTAGTCGTACCTGTTCCTGTTCCTGTAACCGTGCCCATGCCCATGATTCTTTTATTTGTTTTGTTTTGTTTTGTCTTCTTTTGTTCTTTTTTTTGGTGTCTTTTCTCCTTTTCGCTTGCAAAAGATTTGTGTGTCCAACGAAAGTATGCAATTTTGAACCTAAACTTGATTCTTCCATCTTCTTTTCTTCGCTCGTGTGCGGGTTCGTCTCGTCTCGTTTCGTTCCCTAGAGCGTACCTTGAGCCATCCATGTGTGGCTCATGTCATGGTCATGTTGATTCCAGACGAGGGAACCATGGAAGTCGGGTAGTAGCCGGTCGATGTCGACTTGCCCTCGAATGGCGCAGGTGTGCGATCCCCGAGATGTGCCGGAGGTTGAAAGATGCTTGGGAGTGTGGTACTATCGTAGTCGGTCTTGATCTTGGAGCCCACGTCTAGTCCCGTGGCCATGTGAGGAGGCACCACGTCGTTACGCTCTGTTCGAGGGTTGAACAGTTCGACCCGTTCGTTCTGCGCCTCGTAGATGGGTCCTGGGTAGTACTGATACTCTCTGACCGAGTTGATGGCCTTGGCTTCCTCGGTCGTGATCATCGACTCGGGTGGAATGTCATGTTGACGCACGCCATACACGTGTCCTCGGTTATCGAACGCGCCGCCACCGCCGCCGTATCCCGGTGGGTTCATCATGGGGTTGGTGTTGAAATCCATTCCCCCAATGGGTCCAAATGGCCCAAGATTACCGGCCGAGCCACCTGGTCCGCTGCTCTGGCTTCCGCGTCTGTCATTTTGATAATGTCCAGGGGATCGGCCCCGAACAATCATTTTGGCGGATTTGCGTGTGGCCACCTTGACAAACGAATCACCGTTGCTGCCGTTGCTGCCAACGTCAGCCCACAGCTCCACGACCAGCTGGTAGTATTGCTGAGCAGCTCTGCGCTTGCCATTGTTCTGCGTGGCCTGCTTGAACTGGATACGCTCAAAGGTGTGTTCGGTGGGAAGCTGCTGGCCGCCGGGCTGGCTGCTGAAGCTGTCCGAGTAGACTGGGCGGCTGGCCACATCTGGGTACATGCCCATGTGGTGATGGTGGCTCGCCTGGGGTGGTTTGACGCCGAGGCGAACCTTTTCGGGCTTCATGATGGGACCCTTGTCCCGCTTAGGCGTGTGCTGCACGAGTTCAATGTTGTGCTGCTCATTGTCGGATACAACGGCCGAGATGCACATGGCAAAGCCGTAGACTTGGACTGGCTGGTTGGAGCCGGTCGCGGTGTACTGGATAGACACACCGGGAAGATGGGGGTTCAGTGAGAAGGAGCAGATGCAAGAAAAGTAGTTTCTGCGGTAGCAGGTCCATTCGTTTTCCGAGAGGAAGAAGCCCTTGTCGATTACACCCTGGATTTCAGCCTTGACAGGCGTTCCCGCGCCGTCGGCGTACTGAAGATTGCCCATCATGTGGACTGCTTGCAGGGGAGGAATGTTGTTCGGGGCAGGTCGGCTTGTGTAACCACTAGAGCCCATGCTTGGGGCAGCAGTGGAAAAGACGGTGTTGGGGCTCGTCGTCGGAGACAGGGGATGACGGCCTCTATGCTGAGTTGCAAAGGATGGTGAGCGGGTAGCGTGTTCAGACGGCCTTCTGAACGAGGGCGTCGCAGGCGTGTACTGGTCTCGAGTACTGATCTGAGGTCCTGGGTGAGGAAGAGCTGCGGTGCGATGTGAAGGTGGATAGGGATGTGCCATTCCCGTCGAGGAAGTGCTACTGCTGACGGCAGTCAGTTTCTACCTGTTGCTGCTCGAGAGAGCTTCTCGCTGGTGCTTGACATATCCCGCCCGGCACATGTCTCGGACGAGGATGGGGGGAACGGGAGGGAGGGGGCGCCTGGGAGGCCGGCCAAACAGAACAAGCTGATCGGTCGGTTCTAGGCGGCTCCCGACGACTAAAGGGTCAAGACAATTGGGATGAATGATTGATAGACTGATTCTCTATCGGAATGACAAGTGGGCAAGGTAGGGTAGAAGGTGTGCGACTCTGGCCCTGACTCTGGAGGGTGAGGTTGAGGAGTGAGGAGTGAGAGTGAGAAGGACAAGTGAAAGTGAGTGAGAGGGAGAGGTTTAAAAGAAATAGACGACAAGACGTACTTGGAGCCAAGGCGTGAGCGGACGTCGATCCCCGAATACAGCTGAGGAGCGGCAGGTTGAGACTGGAAATAGGCACCGTCCTGGGGGTACTGCGCAGCCGAGTTAAGGACCGGCGGATGGAACAGGTTCAAGAGCGACGACGACTGGGTGGGCTCTATCGTCAAAGAGGAGGTGCTGGCTTCTTGGGGGTATCTGACGCCTCATCAGCGGATCGGTCTTAGGCCAGGGAGTGGCAGACAGCGGTCGCGGTAGCGGTAGCGAGGAAGACGCGGGCAATAGGTAGCAACAGCAACGGCAACGGCAACAGAAGCAGCAAATGGATGGCAATAGCAGCAGCAACGACGGCAACGGCAGAGGACGCGGCCACAGAGACGCTGTATTGCCATTCCCTGGAAATACAGTGTTCCCCGTATCACAGCTTGCAGCGCACCTCAGGTATCACCGTCCACCGTTGGTGTGCCACAGGCAGCCAGCACGGTTTCGAGAGGCTGCGGGAAATGCAGCAGCTCACGGCACTGGGCAGCGGGCAGCAGCGGGCAACGAGGCAACGGCAGCAGGCTTGCAGAGGAGGGGGGGAGAAGAGGGAGAAGAAGAGAGACAAAGTAAGCGCGGGAGTGGCTCCGGGGTGAGGCAGAGAGCCATGGCAAGGCAAGGCAAGGCAAGGGAATCAGAAAAGGTAGCAGAGCCCTCCACCATGCATCCCGTCAGTGGACGGATAGGATATGCACAGTGGATGAGGTTTGATAGGCAAGGTAGGTAGGTAGGTCGTGGGTAGGTCGAAGGCAGGTACGTAGTCAGGTAGACACCGAAGGATAGACTAGATCCTCAGGCGAGGCGGCAACGGCAGTGACAGCGGCACCCCGGGCGTTAAAACAGCGTGCCCATTGCTCAACCTCAAGCCACCGACGAGGGGGGTATGGAGGGGAGGGAAGACGACGTTCGTGGGCTGCACTTGATGGTCGGCGTGTGTGTGTGTGCGTGTGTGTGAGTGTGTGCGTGCGTGCGTGCGAGCGAGAGTGAGTGAGTGAGCAAGCGGGTTGGCTGGCTGGCTGGCTGGATACACCGGCTGGCCTGGTTGGGAAATTCCAACAAGGGAGCGAGAGTGGTGGAGGGACGGGCAGCAGGGATTTGCTCTGCGGGCGACAGCGGGGAGGGGGATAAGAGAGAAAAAAGCACAAGCAAGAGAGAGGGGGAGGCTGGATGGCTGGCTTGCTTGAGCGACTGGATGGATGGATGGACGGATGGGCTGGGGTTGGGGAAGCCGAGTTAAGAATGGGGATTGGAATGCTCGAATGACAAGGACGGGACGACAATGCTGGGGAACTAATCCGACTTGTCGCAGCTGAGCAAGCTGACTCGACGGGGACTGTTGGTTCCAGGGCCTGGCCTGTCTCTGTGTCTGTGATCTGTTCTGGCCTGGTCTGGTTTACAACTCGTATCTTGGCGAGTCCAAGACAAGTTGAGTTGATTTGATTTGATGCGAGGGAAGCCGACAATTGAAGCAATAGCCATCCATGACCATGACCAACTTAGTCTCGGCAGAGATTTCCCCTCTCGCTCGCTCGTTGCCTCTAACTAACGCGTTGAGCGGGGAGGGAGAATAAAGCAACAGAGAGGGTCCGTCCTCGAATCGAATCCAGTATAAGCGGCAGAGACCAAGGCCAACAACCTTGTAGGAAAAAGAAACGAAAATTGACAGGGGTGGTTCTGTAGTGCTAGATCCCGCAGAGAAAACTGCAACAGCAAAATTGACAAGTTACTGAACGAGGCAACTAGCCCGTCCGTGTTGTGTTTATGCCGTCTGTCCATCCATCCATCCATCCATTCATTGTCTGAGAAGCCCGACAACGCCACCACCGACGTGCTGAGGCCTGCAATGAATGACATCCATCGGCTCAACTCGCCAAGTGATAGCTGACGCCTGTAGGTAGAATGTGACGGGACAATAAAAGTGAAATGACGAGACAGGGCAAGCCCAACCTGCAGCAAGGGTGATGATGATGGATAACGTCAAGTACAACACAACGGAGCTGAACGCCCAAGCCAAGGGACAGACGGCAGCACGCACTCGAGTCAACCATTGCCGCCACCGACGTGGGTTATCACATCCAAGTGGTCCCTGGCGGAGCTCACCCCAGATCCTAGATCCCAGTTCCCCGTTCGCAACTTGCGAACGTTGGTGAGCCACTTGTTCTCGAGCCATCAATCAAGTTCAAGGGAAATTAAAATGTGCAATGCGCCTACTAAGCCCACCGCACCGGCATCCATGTTTTGCGGAGTACCGGCCAAGGCGTCAAGAGGTAGGCTGGGGAAACAAGGGTAGAGATACTCAACCAACAGAGTGCGCAGTAAAGAGCTCGAGACAAACAGAACATGCCGCTGACAAGGAGGGTAAAAGGATGAAACAAGATGCAAAGGAAGAAGCGCATGTCATCAAAACTCACCTCATTTCTCCCGCGTGCGTCGCCATATCCATGTAGCCCATCGTGGGCGGCGAAGATTCGAATTCCTGTTTAAGTGACGGCGCATTAGCCCCTGGTCCCAACGGTGATGACAAGTCTCGCGAGTCTTCATTTCCTCCCCCAGAAGGTGAGGAAACCCTCTCTGTTGTTGAAACAGCCATGGATGTGTGTCTGTCGTCTGAGCGGCTACATGGCAACGTGTCTTGCTTTTCAGCCCGGGATGTCTACTGTCTTGTTCAGTTAGCCGAATGTCAATCCATCATCAACGTAGATAACAGCGCAACAACGCCTCCAGGTTGCCCCAGAGTCATGCAGATTGTTTGTCATCCAATCGTAGTTTGTCATGACAGCTTTGAGCACCGGATCCCTCTCGCCATGCGCCATACAAGCATGCCCCGGTGCAACAGAGCACTCCAGACCCCCAGACGCAAGTCCAACTGGGGCTAGGATCTTAGGCTTGCCGTTGTTGGCGCACGAAACACGAAGTACAAAGGTGCACAGCACTACAGCACACAGAACTGCAGCCGAAAACAGGACGCCACAGATTGCTTGCAGAGGGCACAATCCTTGCGTGGATTGGTCTACCCCCAGCAACACTTGGCACTGCTCGAACGACGCAGCTGTCTATTGTTGACCTTGATTGACTGAAAGCCGAGCCGGGGCGGGCATTCAAAGCCACTGCAAGGAACAAGGCGTAGCCGAATACCATTGACTGCAGGTCTGTCTTTCCGAGCTGCAGCTGAGGAAAGCGGCAACAAACCCACCGCGTCGTGGTATGTCAGGAGAAAGAAGCTGATTGTGTTTCTGAAGAGGCAAAAGAAAAGTATCATACGTACCAGTATTGAGTGAGAGTCTTGAGAGTGCTGGCCCTGGTGTACCCGAACCTACTAGATGCCGTTCCCACTCCAGATGGAGATACACAGCCAAGCATCGTCCCCCCCAAATTGGGAACCTCAACGATCCATGAAAGAGAAAGACCTCATATTACCTTGGGAATTTGAGAATTCATGCGCGGCTCTCAAGCGACGCTTCGTTGTCGCAATCGAGATTGTACACCACCTAGCAATTCGCAATAGTAGTTGGCCAGATTCGAACCACCTGTGGTCAAGGCTGGGTTCCGGATAAAGCACTTATCGGCAAGATTTCTTCTTAGCTAACCGCAATTCTCTGCCCGGATCGTGGTAAGTTTGGATAGCGCTCGTACCTGGAGAATCGATAGTTGAGAACGATGAGGGTTCCTTGTCGTTGCCCTCGAATGTGAAGAGCCCTTTGACCCCTATTGTTTCTTAGATGTTCTTGGACCTGCATGAGCGAATAAGTTAGCTCTCAACCTCCGAAAAACTCATTTATACCAGAAAGTGCGTGTCAAGGGCGTGGATGAAAGTCGAAGACGCCAGTGCCATGTTTATGAATCCAGTTACGAAGCTGCCATATTGGAGATGCCAGTCTGACCCTGCTTCCAAGGCATTCTTCTCCAAAGAGCCAGCCTTCAGCATTCTGCTGCTACTGACTTTCGAAGAAAACTGCCCAGGGCCGAGCTGAGGGGGAGAGGTGTGCGTGCCAGATTCGACAATGCTGTAGAAACTGCCCAGCTCAGCTCGTAAGCACGTATGGGTCGACTGATCTTGGCAAGGAACTGGCAACGCCCGGTCCCCCAAGCCCAAGAAACCCAAAAGAGTTTCCGTTGGTTGCGGATAGCTCAGCGGTTGAAACTCTAAACAAGCCCGTCAAAGCATTCAGGGACCGCCAGGTCTTCGATAGTGAATCGAGGAATTCCAGAATAATAGTCGTGTCTCACCCTTGTCTACCTCGTAAATCCTAAACGAGTCTGTTCGTGCTGATAAGGTTTCTCCTTTGTAGGTTACGTTGTTCGAGAGAGGTGGCTGTCTTCGATCCACGGCCGAGTGACGACGTCGTTCGATGAGTTGGTGTAACGGACGACAGGCGGAGAGCTGGGCTGCTGCGAGGGGATTGTGAACAATGACGATACAAGAGAAGGCACAACCGCGCGAGTGCAGGATCTCGCTGTCTATATACCCTCGCTGCGGCTTCAGGCGGCGGTGGCTGACTTAGGATCGTACAGGAACAGACTGAGAAGAAGGGATCAGAGAGGCTCAAGGGGGCGACGGCGAGAACATGTGGTACAGGTCTGAGCAAAGAGTA